TCTTTTTCAAGAGTCACGCCCTCTTGGCTTTATGAGATGTCTATTTAAAAACACGGAGCTCCTGAATTAGGTCAAGCTATTCGTTCCTTGGACAACTTCCCGATATTAATTGGCATTCTTCCTTTTATAAGACGTAGCGCGTCTTTTGAAGGAGCAGAAATATTGATGATATTAGTTCATTAGTTTCTTTAGGGGAGAAATAATGATCATTTGCTAATAATTCTTTTAACATCTCTATTTTGTCGTTTAGACAGAGGTATTTATTTTGTTATTCACACTTTAAGAAGCTAATTGTTACTAGTTGATGGTGTCATCTTAGCGTTTACAATCTTTTTAACAGGCTCGTAAAATTTGTCCGAAACCATTAACGGTGAGTAACGATGCGAACCGAGATCTTACGAAAAGCCCTGACACTTTTAGTTACCTAATGGCTCTTTCGCAATTCTAAAAGCCTTTTGTTGTTGGACGGTTGCTGTATTTATTTCTTCGCATGCCACTTATTAGCACCGGAAACCAATTGAACAACTCTTCTCTAACATGACATTTAATGATCACCGATGAGTAATCTACCAAATGCCGCGCGAGCAGATGTTCAGTGCAATAATTTCTCTTTCTGAAATTTTAATTCCGATAAGAGTCGATTTTCGTTTTTGGCAATTTTAGCACTTGGGTGCGACTTTTCAGCATTTGTTGCAAAATGAGTTAATCTAATTAGACCTTTAGCGGTATTAGGAAGTCATGCGTTGTTCGAAAAATGTAATCAGTTCCCAAACATATACGTTTCAATACATCTAATAGTTAAACAGTTTCCAGCGATGCGATGGTTAGAGCCAAAAGTAATCCTAACGGGTAATCCCCAACATTTTATTGAATTCCCCCCCCCCCCCTTTTTTTGGGATACATGCGGGAATGAAATTATTTTTTTGAATAACAATTACCGGTTCGACGAATTTGAAGAAGAGATTTACGAGGGAATTTGGCAACGTTTACACGGACCCGCGTGTCGCGTTACGCGTCAAAGGAACTGGGTTTTGTTTTTGACGTGCTGAACGGTAGGATTTATTTAACATCCAGCACGTTCAAACACGACCGATCGCAGAATGAACCAATGGACGATGCGGCGATGCGCACGAGCGAACCACCAGCAATGGTACACATATATTTCGGGTTGATGCCACTGGTGTGTGCTGGACGCAATTTGGGAGCAATCGACTGAACGACATGCCACAAATCAAACCCGTCTATGGTGTTCGTGAACCTAGGCTACTCCTCCATTCGTTCCTGTGCATGATGAGAGTTTGCCCCGCTCTCTCTCTCTCTCTCTCTCGCTCCTTTATATTTACCGTCCCACTTTCTCTTCAGTAGATGACATCCTCTCAGTTCGAGTTAAAGCTCCGCCACACGGTTGTTGTGTTTCGAGTTGTTGCACGACATCTGTTACCATCGATGCATCAACTCGCCAGCGTATTACACTGCTGTTACTGTTAATTGAATTGATTCCTGCTATTCAGCAATGAGTCAACATTGCTATGTTCATTAAAATATTCATTCGAATAACTCCCTTTACTGCTGGTATCCATTACCACTTCTTTTACTATTCCTACCAAATTTACTACTACTATTACTGCTTCCTTCTCCTCTGATATTTACTGTCCCTACTACTTTTTTAGTAGTGGTACTACCACCACTTCTTTCATAGTTTTTTTTTTCATCAACAGTTATTAACCATTAGCAGACTTTATTTTTAGACCATAAACCCTAAGCTTCCTTCTCCTCTAATATTTATACTGTCCCTACTACTTTTTCACAGTGGCAGTGGTACTACCACCACTTCTTTCATATTTTTTTTTCATCAATAGTTTAGACTTTATTTTTAGACCATAAAACCTAAGTTTCAGAATAAAATCGGTTTTGTTGAATAGAAAACAGTGGTTTGGATGTCGTTGCGAAAATTTATTGGATATCTTGATGTCAATTTTAATGGATTCTCGATCGCTACCAGATTGTTGACGCTCGTAAAATTGTGAAATCGCACACGGGTGTAAATATACACCTTCCAAAGTATACACTGAGCATTTATGGATTGATTAATTTTGAACTATGGGACGGTGAAAATGTATAGAATAATAAATAACTCGGTTTCGATTTTCAGTAAACAAGCTCCCTTCTATCTGAATCAATAAAATTTTCATACATTTCAATTCTGGGGCTTCTATATATACTTTGAATCCTAATAATAAACAAAGGGATTTTTAGTTAAAAACAATAAAAAAAATTGAATTTTGGAGAAGTTACAAAACAAAATTTCAATTATTTAAAAAAATGTTAATAAAATTCTTGTCTAAATTTCAATAATTATTTTCAAAACTTTTAATAATATACTCCTCAAAATTTCAATTATATTCAAAAATTTTTAGCAAAATTATTGGCAAAAATTCAATTATTTTTGTAAATAATAAACTTTCTGTCCGAAATTCAATTATTTTTTTTTAATTTTAATAAAATTCTCGTCAAAATTTCAATTATTTTCAAAATTTCAATAAAATTCTTAACAAAAATTCAATTATTTTCAAAAATTTTAATGAAATTCTTTGGAAAAATTTCAATTATTTTTATAAATAATAAAATTTCTGTTCTAAATTCAATTATTTTTTAAAAATTTTAATAAAATTCTCGTCAAAATTTCAATTATTTTAAAAAATTTAATAGAATTCTTAACAAAATTCCAATTATTTTCAAAAATTTTAATATTCTCCTCAAAATTTCAATTATATTTAAAAATGTTTAGTAAAATTGTTGGCAAAAATTCAATTATTTTTATAAATAATAAAATTTATGTCCTAAATTCAATTATTTTTTAAAAATTTTAATAAAATTCTTATTAAAATTTCAATTATTTTAATAATTTCGTTGGAAACTTTTAATTATCTTTATAAATAATGAAATTATTCTTATAAATTCAATTATTTTCAAAAATTTTAATGAAATTCTTTGCAAAATTTCAATTATTTTCAAAAATATTCCTGAATTCAATGTTTTTTAATATTCTACTATTTTAACATAAGTTTTACAAAACAATTCAATTATTTAAAAAAAAATTAATAAAATTATACCCAAAACTTTAATAAAATTTTACCAAAAAATTTAATTATTTTCTGTAAATAATAGAAATTTCACAGGAATTCAATTATGTTCAAAAATTGAAAAAAATTTTTGTCAAAAGTTCAATTATTTTCAAAATTTTTAATAAAATTCTTAACAAAATTTCAATTATTTCTAAAAATTTTCATAAATTTTTTGACAAAATTTCAATTATCTTCAAATCTTTTAATAACATTCTCCTCAAAATTTCAATTATATTTAAAAATTTTTAGTAAAATTCCTGGCAAAAATTAAATTATTTTTATAAATAAAAAAATTTCTATCCGAAATTCAATTATTTTTTTTTTTAATTTTAATAAAATTCTCGTCAAAATTTCATTTAAATTCTTAACAAAAATTCGATTATTTTCAAAAATAATAAAATTTCTGTTCGAAATTCAATTATTTTCAAAATTTTTAATAAAATTCTTGGAAAAATTTCAATTACTTTCAAAGATTATCCTCAATTCAATGATTTTAATAAAATTTTATTCAAAAATTTAATTATTTTTATAAATAATAAAAATTTCACAGGAATTCAATTATTTACAAATTGTTTATAAACTTCTTCGCAATAATTCAATTATTATAAATAATTAATTTTTTTACAAGGATTCAATTACTTCTTTTTAATGCAATTTTAATCGAATTTTTCGAAAAATGTAATTATTTTAAAAAATTTTATTAAAATTCATCAAGAGAATTTGTATTTTTCAAATTTTTTAAATAAAATTCTTTATTAAAATTCAACTTTTTGAGAAACATTCAATTATTAAATAAATTATTCATTTTTTTATTTAAATAATTGAATTCTCATTGAAATTATGAATAAAATTGAAACTATTTGAAGTTTTTATTTTCTAATAAATATTTAATTAAAGAATCTCCTAAATCGAAATTTCGTCAAATTGAATTAACAAAAAACAGTGGATTTGAAAATTCTCAAAGAAGTATTTCAAGAATTATTAAAAATAAAAAAAATTAAAAAAATTAAAAATTAAAAAATTAAAATTCATTTAAAAAAGAATTTTAATTTGAAATTCTAGAAAATAATAATTGAATTGAAATGATGAAAATAATTTTTATAAAATAATGACTTTATCACTCAGTCATTTTAAATTTATTGTAAAACATGAGGAAATCGATCGCTCCGAGTCTTCGACTCGGAGTGATCCATTTCTTCATGTTTTATAAAGGTTTGAATTTAAATATTTTGAAAATTTTCTTTCTACTGGAAAAATAATGATTATAATTATATTTATTAAAAACAGAAGTTATTGCTGTTTTCGGATAATTTTACAATTGAAAAAAATTTTTGTAAATAAATGTAATATCAAAGTTCAGAGTATTTATAAAAATGTATTAGTTATTTAGTTTGGTAAACTATATAAGAGAAATACATACAAGTAAATGAAGTTAAAATAATATGCCAGCATTTAGTATATTTTATAGACAGATAGACTATTTTATAGACTCCAGTTAATTTATCGCTTTTAGAAACGAATTTGTTTGTAGGATTAAGAGAAACATTTATTATTCTTGCGAGTTGAAAACACAACTCTCGTTTCATTCTGTTTAATCTGAAAATAAATCTTTCGTATATACGTCACAAGAGGATAATTGAAGTCTGCACCGTCGTTAGAGAGCACCCTCGAAATATTAAAATGGACAAACCTGGTATTTTACGGTAGAGCGTAAAATTCGTAAATGGGTCAGCCAACCGGTTGTCAAAAATTTTCATCCATCACTCTGTTGACTCTGTTATACCATTAGGTCATTAGGTTAAGAAACTTTGCTGATTTTTTTTTTGTTCTTATTTACTTAGTTTGAAGTTAACGAGAAAATTTTTTCTTTTGCAGATGCTGTGAACTAGTCTCTTAACTCATGGGGAAAATGAGGCATTCGATGGAGTATTTTGTGTTCGGCTTTCTTTTCTTGATTCTTGCCTCTGATTATGGATCAGGATTCGAGTGGCAGCACAGCGCCGTCCTTGATAACAATTTTCTTGTTTTGTGGACGCCTGGCGAGAGGGACGTCACCTTTGAAGTGCAGGTGAAAACATTGGGTTACGTGGGTTTGGGCTTCACGAGAGATGACCGACGTGCTGGCACTGACATGGTCATCGGCTGGGTCGATAACAACGGTCAAGTTCATCTTCAGGTGAGTTGGAGATTTATTTTCATTTTCTGGCGGGAAGAAAACGAATCTTTTTTTAACCATAAAAAATACATTTTTAGTCAAAGCTAAAAACAGCTATTAGATGATATTCGCAAGGACTGATTCCTCTAGTTTCCAGCGAATCTACGGTCCATATAAGTACCGCGATCGGTTAAGTAGAATTGAGTTTAACCGGAATTCGAGTAAAATAAATTTTTTTCTAAGGACCAATACATCTATGACGTTAGTCAAGCTAAGGATCGCGTGTTCGCAATTTTTCCCGAAGAATCGCTGCTCTGTTCCATAATGCATGCCATCGTTGGCGTACTGCTCATGATACAAAGTCTATGCGGCTATAGAATGCAGCAGCCGTCGTCAGATCTTTTCATACCGAGAGATACCGATGGCCGATGGGAGCAAAAAGCTTTTTCATTATGATCGTAATCTCAGAATAGAACCAGACCAGCCGCGGGCATCTTCAGCTCGATGACTGCACCGTCTTTCTCGTGGTCATTTCTTCTCCGTGTTCCAACATTTATTCCCCAGCCTGGTATTAGTCATTCTGTTACACTAACGCAACTGTTTTCGATCATTGACTCTTGCGCCGTACAATTGCTCTCAAGTCTCGAACTTTATGGGAATGTCCGTTAAACGATTATCTCTCGATATTCGTGTCACAACTTTCTCACTATTAGTCATTTATTACAACCAGAAAAAACTTGGCTCTAAAATCGTTTTCTTCGAAATTGCTCCTTGCTCGTTTTATACAGTAACCTTCTGGCTAGAACTCATTTCTTGCTGCCATTTATACCTTTCGCAAAGTTTTCAGTTAAATAGAATTTAAATGAAACCAAAAGAAGAAACTTTTGTTAAATATCCAAAAACAGTAGCCCAAACAGAAATTTATAAATTGTATGATACTTTATTAAATTGCCAGGGGTTTATTTGTTAAATTAATCATAAATCAAGAGAAGGAATAAAAATTTTCACGCCAAGTCAAAGTGAGCGTAAGATCAAAGAAATTTTTTTTTTCTCATCATCATGTGTGTGGATAATTCGCGAGTTTCGTTTTTTCTCGCCTGTAAATAAAATGAGACAAATGAAACCACACGAACGAGACACTAAGCAGCAAAGTGATAGAGAGAAGAGAGTGTGCTATGCACTTTGTGTGGAATAAAATTCCCATTTCACATTTTGTTTAGTGGCTTTCAGCCCCGCGGTTCAACACAATAGAGAAAAAGTGTGTCTATCAACAGACATCGTTTGGATGCATCCATCAGCCTTTTACTCTCCACTCTTGTATTTTCACACATTGTCAGTTTATCCAGGTCGCTCGAGTTCAAAATAAATCCGATCAAGTCACTTTTGTTTTCGCGCAATAATTATTTATTTTGTAATGAACCTTCAAGAGTGCCACGCGTCTCTTATTATCATCATCATACAAACCTAGTTTGTAATGTTCGGCGAATAAATTTCCAAAAATAAAACTAGATTACGTTTGTAAAAAACTTTGTCCTGAATAGGAATTGTTCCAATAGTGTGTTTTTCCAGAACAATTGTCATTCTTGTAATCGTCAACAAAAAAAGGGAAGTGTTAGAGGGCGCGAACATTTCGAATACAGAGAAAACTAACTGTGTGAACAAGTTTCCGATGGTTCGAATGCAATTTCACTGGTAAAAATGGAATGCCATAGAAATAGTGAATAATATGTTTTCAGCATTGGCGGAAAATCTGTGCGGTTGAAAATAAATGCGCGCAATTGTAACTAAGTTTTAGCGCACAGTCACACTATAAGTCTCGTGAGATTTGGTTTTACCGTTTGAAAATACGAATATGTTCTAGCCGAGCGAGCGCAGTAAACGATTCACATGGTTCTTGTGATTATGAAAATGAGGCTCAAAGCGACTACTGGCATTGTATTCATGCATCAAGCAGATGGTCTCACTCGTAAATGCTACTTATGGCTGATTTCTAGAATTTCCATAAACCTCCATTTACAGCTGGGTCAATTGACTACCTTTCTCTTTCGTTGATTGCTTTCTTGAGAGCTTATCCACTTTATTTGAACAATTTCAAACAATTTCAAATGCTTAATTGTAGAGGATAAAAAATTGTTGTTCTCTTCTGTACTCGAACTGGGTCCCTAAATTCCTAAAGATCCGTAACTTCTATCCTTCTTCAAGTCCGCAAATAGTATTTTAAACTCTAATATTTAAATTTTAATATTCTAATATAATATTCTAAATAATGTCAGATTCAAAGATCTTGGGAAGAGATTCTAAACCTCAAATCATACTCCAGAACCTCTTAAGATACTTTTTATGCCGTAGTTCTCAGCTCCTGTCAATTGTATAATCCGGTAATTTATCAGATTGTCCGAAACAACAAAGAAAGATTGTTATGACATGGTCTTCCTTTTAGAGGTTTCGTTTTTGAATAATGGCATTCTTATCTTTTGAATAAGTTATTTCCCTATCGGGATGAATTAAAATTATTCAATTAGCCTACACGGAGGTTTATTTTTCTAATCGGGTATAATAGATGCGTACCTCGCTCGCTAAGTAAGCACGCACTCAATAACTGACTACCTCTCATGCGATGGAAATCTTGTAGACTTTAAATTGAGGAGCGACTTCTGGGGTGGTCTCGAGAGAAAGTACTAACCGTTTATCGTGTGTGTGTGTGTTTGTGTCAATAAGAAGCGAAGAGACGGAATTGAAAAAATATATTTACTTGACAAGAAGCCATTTTCCAAATGTCGCTCACTGGCGAATTTTGTAAAAAAAAACTTATGACATGCTTAAATGTTTTCCATCTTAAAACTGCAACTATAGAATCAAAACACTATTTGTCAAACTTAATCGACAAATTCCCTTGAACTCGAAGTGGAATAATTCTTCCCCTTATGAGAAATATTACTCTTGTGATCATAATGGATGAATTGGGAAAAAAAATTAAATTGGAGGATTGAGCTTCTGGACTAATTCCTCGACAACCGAAGGAGATAAAGGGACCGCCCGGTTTTACGCACAGGAGATGATACAAGATCTTTAAATCTGCGGTGGGCATTGAAAAATCCAACGTTCATTCTTCATCCGTTTTGGACAATCAGATGGCGGCCGTTTGAGTAGGTTCACAGTCAAATGGCATTCGCATCTGATAATATTTAAATTAATGATAAACATTTATGAAACCCTTTTGTTACACTGAAAACATATTTGGATCATTGTGCTGTCGTTAGAGGAGATTATGAATTCAGACCTTGGTCCAGAAGCATTGTCCGCATTGGTCCTCTCATCTCCATAAGGGGAACCTCTCCCTCCCCGCTTTTCAGTTGTGGACACATTTTTATTCTCCACAGAACCGGTCTCATCGTCCTTCCTTTGAGAGCAGCGTGCCAGAACTGGATTCAATTCCCAATTGTTTTCTTGGCCGCCTTAAATTGTCCAAATGCGAAACGTCAGGAATGAGATCAATTGCAAAACCTTCCTTAATCGTGTCTTTCAAAGTGGAGTGATAGCATCTTAAGAGGGATTCATCGGGGGAAAAAAAGAGAACGACAATCTTAGCTCCGAATATAATTAAGCAGGTTTTGAAAAATGAAAAATAAAAAAATGAATCTAGATGATTCGGTTTGCCACCTTGGATGTGTCGGTTTGCAGCTCGCTGGTGTGATATGACAGCAGGGTGTCAAAAGAGCGTGAGCTATAAAAAGTAGGAAATCCGAGAAGGCTCTCCTTGGATTACGAGTCTCAAGATCAGTAAGAACGATAGTACAAGATCGGTTCCCTCCGATCGTAAAGTCGAATCAAAAGGGATGGATCTTCAAAAGGATAATTAGACTCGAACCTCGGGACAACTTATTCTTTAATAAAGGAATTATGAAAATTATAAATTGCAGATCAGTTAGTAGATTAGTAACCAGGACAGATTAGTAACAGTTTCGAACGTAAGTCATATCGCAGTAAATAGTTGTAGTACCATTCTATTCTCAGACGAGTGTAGTGACTTGAAATCGCTTTCTAGACAAGTGACCACCTCGGGCGACCACACCTTTTCCTGCCTCCCGCATTTTGCGGGATATATCCAATATACCCGATACAACTATCAACCTACTTGGAATTTTATTTACATATACAGTATCGCAATCCAAACATGGCGAGATAAAACGACAAATTAACTTCAACAAAAAAAAAATCCTCCATTGTCGAAGGACGAGACGTGTGTGGTGTTACCTTTTGAATGCATAAACATTAGTTGTAGGTTTCACGGTATCCGGTTCAACCATCCGTAAAATCGCGAGAAGAAGGTTTCAAACACCACATATACAAAGATGCGGTTCACGATACGAGAGAAGGGCCAAGGTTACTTGACTGTTACTTGATATTTGTGAACCAATCAAGAGCGTCGATTCTTGGCGACAAGATAAGAGAACCCCTCTCGGCACAAAAACCTGAATTCATTTTTGCAGCGTATCAAATTGAACACCAGTCCCAAATGGCTAGCTATATGAACAGTCCAAATATCAGGGGTCAATTACAAATGCGAATCATGGAATATTCATCTTGCCAAATCCCCAAAGAAAATTGGTTTTCTATTTAGGAACATAATTTTAATTAACACATTATTTATAATTACATACTTCAAAATTAAATAGATATAATTATAAGTCATTAAAAGCATTAGTTTCCCATACGTATATAATTACATAGCAACTGTTTTAGATAATTTAATAACTACCATTAGAAATTATAAACAAACAAAAAGATCAGTGGAACCATAAATTTTCATTTGCAAAATGTGAAACTAAACTACTCAGTTATTTACTCCACTTGTAATTAATACAATCATTTTCCATATAAAATTATAATCAGAAAAGTGAAAAAATTGGATATTATTTCTGTATAAATATTCTATATTATATCCCATGCGCAAGTTTAACTGTTTGGAATTTTAAACTAAAATAATTAACAGCTCCCGTATAATTGAGAATAATTTGAAT